TGTGTTGTCTTTAAGCTTCTTTTCGATCTTAAGCTTGTCCTCTTGTGCCTTCTCCTATCTCTTTGATAGAACATATTTTGAGCTGGTTGTCCTCCTCTTGTTGATGAGTTGTAGTTTAACTTCTGATAAACCAGTTTCTAAATTTTTTTTTTCTCTACAAAAGCAATATGAAGCTTTAAAGTTGTGATACTTAAAGTACTGGGCTGGCTCTTCACAAAGACCTAATTGTACTGTTGATACAAAAAACAGAAGACAAAAAAAACCTCATTAGTTTGACATCAGGCTTCTGTGGGGAGTTGGAGTTCTATTTAAATTATGGAAAATTATCACCTGCAAAAGATGTTAATTATTATAATTGTTTTAAATTTATATCTACATTGGAACTAAGATACGGGCTTAAACTTTTGTGTATTTTCTAGTATTATAAACAACACAACATATATCTTAACATTCCAGGTTGTGGCATTTGTATTCAGTAAAAAAATACATAATCTTCACATCGTTGCAAATTCGAGCTGTCATGGTATAAATTAATGAGGTTTTACTCTGTTTGGATTAGGATTTGGATGAGAAAACCACGAGTGTGCATGTGTGTAAGTATGAATACACATTACACACATGTAGCACAAGGTGTCCATACACTGGTTAACATTCACTCAGAGCACACGTTCGGTATGTGATCGTTGGAGTGAATGACTGAAATCACCAACCTTTTGTCACTGTTAGTACTACCCCAATGCCCAGTAGGTCCTGGACTCATAATTTTTCATCATTTTGACCCATTTGGAAGCTTGAAATCAATGTCATCCCCAAACACAGCAACCAGCTTCCGACTTTATGTCCTTAAATCAACACCTCACAAAAAGCTCATCTGAGCATGGTAGCCGGAAAAAGTGGGGCCTGGGCGTGGGGACCTGGGCTGGTGGGGTGAAGGTAAGTGTTGTCCCTGCCCCACTGTGGTCCTTGTGTTTGTAACAAGACCTACAAATGAGGGCACTCAAATTTGACTTTTTCTCAGTTTAGGTTAATTTCTATGTAGTCCCTATGGTCTGGAGAATTGGCCTTGCCTACCAAGCTTTAGATAACAAGTAGAAGGAATAAGTGATAAAGAGTATTAACGACGGAGAGAACCTTTTCAGTGACCCTACTTGGAGTGTGCTCGTTAGCAGGCTATGGTTTTCCCCTCTTTGTGTGATGAACATATACAGTCAAGACACAGTGCATGGATCAGGCACTGAGAGATCTGGATTCCTGGTCCAGATTTTCCTCACTTGGTAACCTTGACCAAGTCACTTAACCTCATGGCACTTGGATTTCTTCATCCGGTAAATGATGCTATTAGGTCTCAAAAGTCTTTTCTAGGCCTTGATTTTGTAATTATCAAAGTCAGACCACATTAAAACAAGCGATTATGAGGAATCTGAAGTATCTTCGCTCAGGATGAGTACTCTGTTTAAAGATGCCACTTGATAGTGTTTGCTTCCCTTAAGCATAAAGTGCTTTATATTTAATGTTAAAATAATCTCTAGCTTGTTCAGGTTTAGACAGGACCTCAGACACTTAAAGGATCAAAATATTGGCATCTGAAATTCTAGCAAAAACGGACTGTACAATAGTGGAAAGTGATGCTTTTAAAGAGCATTTACTGTTGACAATCAGTGAAAAATGTATCAGTTTATTCTCACAATGACTAGATGTGAGAATGACTGTGATACTGGGTCTTAAGTGAGGCAGGGAAAGGAATCTCTCTGAAGGTCTCTGTAGGAAGTTAAATCAACCTAGATGCTGATACAAAATATTGATGGGTTCCAGAGTCTCTCGTCATGTGTTTTCTTAAACCAAACAATGGTGGAATAAAACCCCCTATCGATGACACAGAAAGTCTGGAGATGGGGAGAATTCTGAGCTTTCTGATGCTATTAACTCTCTCTTTTTCAATTTAGTTGCTCCAACTATCACATTTCTCGAATCTCCAACCTCAGACCACCACTGGTGCATTCCATTCACTGTGAAAGGCAACCCCAAACCAGCGCTTCAGTGGTTCTATAACGGGGCAATTTTGAATGAGTCCAAATACATCTGTACTAAAATCCATGTCACCAATCACACGGAGTACCACGGCTGCCTCCAGCTGGATAACCCCACCCACATGAACAATGGGGACTACAAGTTAGTAGCCAAGAATGAGTATGGGAAGGATGAGAAACAGATTTCTGCTCACTTCATGGGCTGGCCTGGAATCGATGATGGTGAGTAGCTCATGTTGTTGCATCTGGGGGGAGGACAGGCTGCATCGCTTAACTCTTGATAAAATCATGCATGCCGTAAACCACACTCAAACCCAGGGCCTTAAGATACCGTTACTTAGTCTTGCTCGTGGACCTGCAGATCAGCTGAGGAGGTTGCGTTGCCTGCGCTTTTGTTCTGGGGCGCAGGGGAGGCAGCCATGGCTACACAGGAGGTCTGCTTCTGACGATGAGTGCGGGATGTGAGAGGACAGCACAAAATGTGCAGGGCTTCTTAAGTCGTAGGTTCAGGACTGGCTCATGGTTAAACATGCCGTTGGCCAAAGCCAGTCATGGGGCCAAAGCCCAGTCGAGGAGCAGGGACCCACACTCCTCCCACTGAGGCGATGGGGATGAATAATTCTGAACGATATTCTGAGAACATGCGTGATTTTTAAAATTTTTATTGTGTTATTTTTTAATTGAAGTCTAGGCAGTTTGCAGGGTTGGGCCCATTTCTGGTGCACAGCATGTTTCAGTCATACATGTACACATATTCCTTTTCCTATTCTTTTTCATTATAGGTTACTCCAAGATACTGAATATAGTTCCCTGTAGCACACATTATTTTGATCTCAGGTGTTAGATGAGATTTTGTCCCCCTAATGGCAAAACCCATGCAAATCTGCGAGCACGTGGACTGTGTTTGGTTGGCTCATGAACTATATAAGATGTATTTCTAGCCCCTTATCCATTTGGAATGCAGAATCCTGCTCCCCCTTCCATGGCTGAGAAACCATGGGATGTTTTGGTTCCCTAGGCTGTCTGAGTTGAGGCATCCTCTGATTGGATCCTGAATTGCTTGCTTAGGAGTGGTGATCATTCCCATCTGACCAATGGTTTGGGTTGGGAAAAGGATGGCTGGCATCAGGAGTCCCTTCCATGGCCAGCAGGAGAGTTCCAGTGACAGCAGGGACAATATTCATGCTCTTACCTGCCTCAGATACTTGTGTTCAGTGCAGTGTTCTTACCTGCTTAATTGTGTTACCCAAATACCTGATACCACTGTGGAGGCTGAAGCCTGTGTTTGGATATTGGGACCTATACATGAATAGAATTCCTTACGCAATTAGCTCCGAGTTAATCAAAGACATATAAAGCTGGCTTGGCAGAGGGAAGGTGAAAAAAGAGAAATTTGGAGGCTGCGAGGCAGAGGCTGCTTGGACAGCGTGTGTTAGTAGTGTGACTCTCAGGATGGCTCCATGGACAAAGGTGGTGGCTGGAGAGCCCCCTTCAGCAAACAGTAAATGAGAATGCAGTAATTCTCCCTACACAGTACATCTTCCCATTATCCTGGTATTTATTCAACATTAAACGTGCAAGCTTCCTTAGCATGCTTAAAATGTGATTTGAATTATATAAGTTTGATTTACAAACAGCCTTTCAGGAGCACATAAAACCAGCTATGTTTGGATGCCTTACCCAGACACCCTGGCAGTTGTTGTCTGTTTCATTAAATCTTCCTCTTAATTGAGAATTTAGCTGCTTGGCTACATTTGCCGTAGTAAATCTCTATATGACTGTTTGTTTTCTTCCTGCATATTTGGAGGAACAACAGCTTTATAGTTTGGGACAACTGCTTCTTTGTTTGCTTTTAAATAAATTTTTTATTTGTGAATAATTTTAAGTTGACTGAAAAGTTGCCAAGATGGTACCTACAATTCCCAGGTTCCCCTCACCTAGTTTCTTCTTCGATAGCATCTTGCATTACTTACATTTGTCAAAAAGAAGAAACTGACATTGGTACATTATTCTTAACTAAACTTCAGACTGCATGAATTTCACCAACAGCTGACTTTTGAAACCATTGGAGGTGAACTTGAGTCCAGGGTGAAGTTCTGGCGTTTAAAAGTCTTAGAAGTGGTCCATGTGCTTTGATATGTGCACTGTTCTGTCAGTGTAAAGCAAGTCGCTTCTATTTTAGATAGGATTTTGATGTATTTCTTTTGAACGTTTCTGTCTGTTACCAATATTTTGTAGAACTTAACCCCTCTTATCTGCATGGCCTCATTTTTATCAATCACTTTGGTTAGTTTTCACTGAGCTAGTGATAGGAAGGAATGGTTTTCCGGCGTAGGAATAACTTGGAGTCTCTCAAGTATTCCCTTAAAAGGAAATAATCATTTATTTATCTAAAATAAAAAATTAAGCCAAATTTATAAAGATGGTCTCTCTCCTTTGTTTCCATTTTCTTGTTCATTTATTCCTTTTTGTCAGCTCTTTAATCTAAACACAGCTTTTATAAAAGGCTGGTCTTTTTTTCACTTTGAAGTATTTACTCAAGGACCAACTATCAAGGGGTAATAAATGAAACAGACTTGGCCCAGGGTGACAGTGGACATAAATGGTCCTTGTGGACCATAAACCAGTGTGACCAATTAGAGATTGACCTCACTTGGCTTATGTGATAGAATCTTTGTGGGTATTTATGAGATTTGTAGCCATAGCCTACAGATAATGGCTTTTCTTAGAATTGCTTCCTCTCCCTCTTAACTCTCCTTAAAATGAAAGAAAAATAAACAAATAGCATATATAGATATAATTTCCCGGGTGGTCTAAATATGCTAAGTTAAGGACCACAGGTCACGTTTGGGGTTATATTTCCTCAGTATTTCTTCTGTCATCATATAGTTAACTGATGAAGAAGTTCAGCTCTCACAAATCTTTTTGATAAGAAGCTTCAGCCATTTTTTTCCTAGTTGTTTTGATGAGATCCATTTTTTTTTCCCACTGCGAGTTTCTGGACTTCCCAGGAAGCAGGCAGCCTGGGGTCACTGAAGCCGGTCGAGTTACCATACAAAGCCAGAAGAATTAAAATGGCAGCTCTGGCGTCCTTGAGAATGTGTGTTCTTCATTCAGCTCCCAACTGAGATCTCCATGAAGTGGTCACCTTGCTTAGGAACTCACTCTTTATTTGGAGATAGAGAAGGAAGCATGTTGAAAGAAATTAAAATAGAAATAAAAACAAATAAATGAGAAGTCCCTAAAACAAAAATGAGTGAGCATGGAAGAGGATGGCTAATTAAATGTCACGACAGCCCCAACTGCCTTTCACACTGCATGGTGTGGTGACAGTGGGTGTGGTGGCCAACACTCTGCCTTCCAGTTGGAGGAAGGATGAGGCAGAGGGACCCTGAGTCAGCATCAGCCAGGCCAAGAGGGTACCATGGTTGGGGTCTGAAGGTGTGAGGCGGGTGGTAAAGGTCCCCATGTAATGTCTCTCCAGAGTGCTGGGACATTGCGGACTCTGACGCCAGACACTGGCCCCAGCTAGGGTGCTTGTGAACAGGGACAGGTGTTACCAGGTCTTTAGATGCCAGCAGGACCCCGGGTACCAGGCCAGTGCCTTCCCCATCTGATCATCACTGGCAGTCTGGCTAGCAACTGACAAAGGGAGAAAAGACTTTCTCAAGCTTCAGGCACTATATTGATCATTTTGCTGCCAATGCTTAGAACCAAACTCAGCTCTGGTCAGTTTTGAGTTCTGTTTAAAGCACAGCATGCAACTTCCAGCTTCAAAATGCACTCTAGAGAACAGTAGTGATTATCATTCTAGCACACCGAAGAGCACAACTTGTGATGATCAAATTAATTTGATTTCATTTTGGTTTTCCATTGTCCCTTTACAATTTATTCACTAGGAGTAATCTTCTCTAGTTCCTAGAGCAGTAGCATCTCACTCTTTGTTCCACATTAGAATCAACTGGTGAGTTTTAATTAATTATTATATCTTATTTTATTTCATTTGTTAAGATACGTTCCTGGAGCCCATCTCTAGCAATTCTTACTCAGTGGCTCCAGGATGAGGCTTGGGCTTTGGCATTTTTCATTTTTGAGATCCCTGGTGACCCCAGTATGCAACCAAGGGTGAGAGTCCCTGGTCTGGATGGGACCTCTTACCCGAGGAGGATTATTCTGCTCATTGTTGAGTAACAGACAAATCCGTGGGTCCCTTGAGGTCACAGACAGAATCTCAACTGAAAAACAGGATGGACCTTCTGAGTTAGACATCGATTCTGGACTTGACTTAAGGGCCTGTCTCCTCTCCCCTCCCAGTTTGGGCTGGCAGCCTGGGGGGTGGAGCCTGGACCTCGCTAATGAGCTTTCAGCCCCCATGCTGCCTTGCGCATGTAGAAGGGTGTGGGTACGGGGGATGGAGTGCAGGGAAGTGTGCTGGCTGGTGGCTCTGTGCTCTTGGGACCTGGGCATGTTCAATGCTGGTTCACAGATCTTCTTTCCTAGTTACCGTTATGAGATACTTGGAGATTCCTCTCTCTGCAGTCCCCTCTCCTGCAGTTCCTAGGACAGAAATACATCTCTGTTCTGGCTGGTGGAAACAGCTCCTTCCTCAGCATCCAGGAAAGCAGCTTTGTGCCTTTGGTGTCCCTCTGGCCCTCTTGGGGGCCTTGCTGTCAAAACCTAAGACTCCCTACACAGACTCTCTTGTGCTGCCTCCATCTGGTCCACGGGGACCCCTTGTCCTGACATTCTAGGTGTACAGGTCGAACCCAGATGTTATCTGCATCCTGCCACCGCAGGTGGCTTTTGCCTTCTCTGGTACAGTCAGGCCACTTGTCCCCCGAGCCTTTCACCTGCAGAGCACATGGTTCACGTTCTCCAGTGCGGCCGTGGAAGCCCCTTGGTCGGGTGGTGGCAATGCAGCACTTCTTTGTAAGCCTTTCCTTTCTCTCTCCTCTCTGGGACCTCTTAAAGTCTCAGTGTGAACCAGATGTTTCAAAGGACAGGGATTCAGTCCTCAGCCATTTCCTTTGTGAATCCCACCTGAGTATCTCACGTTCACTTTGGTGTCAGTTACTAAGGCAGGAAGAGTCTTGCTTAACATCCTGTTCTACTAGAATCCTAGGATTTTGAACAAGCTGTCAGATCTCCCTGAGGTCTGACAAACAGAGGGCGCTGGGCTCCCCACTAACAAGCAATAAAACACAAGCTTTTCTCCCCAGAAT